TTCAGTGTGACAATGCCCAAGCCTGGGGTTGCAGTGTGGGCAGGACATACTGGGGTCTGGCCAGTCTGCCTCATTTAGACTAACGTGAGTGTTGCTGAGTCTCCTCTATGAGTGTTGCTCTGAGTATTGCTGACCCCTCTGTAGAATGCAGATGGTGGAGGACAGGCAGTGGTTTCCTCATTCCCAGGAATCCGAAGCAAGGAAGGTTGAGTAAAATTCCCATGTAAAGAAGCATCTTGCCTTTGTCTTTACTCTTTGTAGCCTACTAGATATGCTATCCAAGGAGAGACCAATTGATCGAGGCAGAGCTGTGGCCTGACAAGATATATCCGAGGGCAGAATTGACAGTGCTCTAGGATGGGATGGCCGATATCTCAGTAGGGACAAGGAAAACAGGATTTGTTCTTTGCAAAATTGCAGCATAGCAGAGCTTCTAAAAATATGGACAATGCTTGATATGATGGCACTTCATATGACTTATCTTATTTTCCATTTTGAGCTTCTCAACCAGGTTGTGAGAAAGATGGGGAAAAAAGCATTATCTCTGCTTGCCATGTGAGGATTCACGTGCAGATGTCCAGAAAGGTGAAGCAATTTTTCCAGTCTCAAGGGTGGTAAGAAGTGGGACTTGAAAACAGGTCTCTTGGCTTCAAGTCCAGAGTTTTCTCGACACCCTAGCTATATTGCCCCTTGACATATTCCACTGTCCTGCAGTAATCCTAGAAGAACTCTAGCCCTAGCAGTACTTGGCCTACCAGTCTCTGAAAAAATCTGATGGCAAGGTGGTGCATGTTGGATTGAGGGGACAGAGGAGGAGTAAATGAGAGAAGCAGAACGATCATTGTTGTCCATCAGGTGAGCATAGCGTTCCTTTTCCCATTTGCCCTGGAGTCAAGAAGCAACCAAGACTAGGATGTAGGTGCTGAGCAGAGGCCTGGAGGGCAGGCAGGGAAGATGGTAGCAAGAGAGGGGAACAAAGCACCATCCGGTAACTTGGTGGAGAGACTGTCCCGAACCCCTCCAGCTGGGGAAGACTGTATAGACAGCATGGGATGTTCCATGGTCAATGGATGGCCCAGCTAAGCTGAAGGCCACTTCCTCACCAACTGAGGGCAAAGCTCCAGAGGATTTGTAGACCTCTCAGTGCTGGAATGGGTGCCACACACTATAACTTCCTGAGTAGTGTAAACATCCAACAGACTAGACCTTCCAGTCATCTACACCATGTGCATGCTTGTCAGGGAGGACGTCATAGCTAGAGCAGAAATCCAGATGAGTTGGGAGGCGTTCATTCTACCTGTCAGACACCGCTGGTCTAATGTGGAGCTCGCTGTGGCTTTTGGTCAAGATAATTACTGTAGAAGATCCTAGATGGCAGCAAAGCCCAGGCGAGCAGACCTGAGCTGTAGAGGCGGCATGAGGGGTCCCCACTTGAGATGAGTGCAGAGCAGCCAGCCATTCAGCTTTTCTGGGCTCCCTAAAGGAGATGTATCTTTGCCTTCATTAAACTTCTTGATATTTCTGATATAAGGGAGTGATTTTCCACTGAGTACAGTAGCAATTCTTGAAAAAATATATTTTCAGAGTTAAATGAGCTGTCTTGCTCCCTTATCTTACCATTTCCAGATTTGGTGATGAAGCCCACGTTCACCCACTGTATCATTCCTCTTGATTTTATAAACTTTGAGTATATCTGCTCTTAGTAATTGCAGTATGTGTGTGTGCGTGTGTGTGCGTGTGTGTGTGTGTGTGAGAGAGAGCAAGTGTGTCTGCCATGCCCAGGGGTCAGGGTTTCTCCCAGGGACCATGGTTTTTCCTCCTGCCACACTCCTTCTTCAAGATCCTTGGCTATGATCCATGCAAAACATGGATGAACCTTGAAAACATTATGGTAAGTGAAAGAAGCCAGACACAAATGATCATGTGTTGTATGATCCATTTATATAAATGTCCAGAATAGGCAAATCCACAGACACAGAAACTAGATTAATAGTTGCCAAGGTTTGGAGTGGGCTGATAAAAATGTTCTTACATTGATTGTGGTGATGAATGCCCAACTCTGTGAATATACTAAAAGCTATTGATTTGTATACTTTAAATGGGTGGATTGTATAGTATGTGAATTATATCTCAAGAAAGCTTTTAAAAAAGAAAATATTCTTGTGCAATACAGACACAGTGAGTTGGCTGGAGTTACATCCGTGTGACATAACTACACTGAGGTGCTGGCATGTCTTGGGGACAGACTCCAGAATCTTTGGTTTGCTTTCTAGACTAACAGCCCAGGGCAAATATCCTATGAAAGAAACTTTGCTCTCCTTTAATTTTTCCTTCATTTCTGTGATTTCCCTGAACTCAGGTTCCTTCACATCTCTTTCAGACCAAGAGCTGTTCAAGGGCGAATACTTTCCTATTGTCTTTGAAGAAAATAAAGAGTCCCTGGAGTCCTAACATCCAGTAATAACCACTCTTAACAGTTTGGCATATTCTCTATCTTCTTTACATACACATGTTTATATTTTCTTTATTATCTTTTTAAGTATAAATTTTGACACATATTGAAGAATATATTTAACATTTACCTAAATCTAAATTATAAAGCTTGATAATATATTGAACACCATTAAGCCCATCACCCAAATCCAAAACTGATAATTACTAACAAGGATGCCTCCCCTAGCCCATGCCCTGCCTCCCCACTCCAGAGGTAACCCCTGTTCAGAATTTTGTGTTTATCATTCCCTTCTCTTTTAAAATTGTATTTTATTACACTTGTGCAATGCCTATACAACATACTATTTAGTTTTGTTTGTTTTTAAGCTTAAGTTTTATAAATCTTGCTGTGTGTAGTACTCTGGGATTGCCTTTTTTTAAACGTTTCTATGATTCATCCTTATTGTGATTGAGCTGTAGTTCATTTATGTCATTGTTGTGTAATATTCCATTCTGTGGTCATATCACTATTTATTTGTTCTTCTGCCTTTGGACATTTATCTGTCTTTCTTTTCTTCCTCCCTCCCTTCCCCGCTCCTCCTCTCTCTCTCTGTCTCTCTCTTTCTTTCTTTTGTGAATATTCTTGTTCATCTTCTAGTGAATATGTGCAAGTTTCTCTACCTAGGAGTACAATTATTGGGTCACTGAACATATGAATTTTCACCTTTACAAGGTAGTGACAAATTATTTTCCAAAGCAATTATATAAATTTACACTCCCACTAGCAACGTAAAAGAATTTCTGTGGTTCCACATTCTTTCCAACACTTGTTATTGCCATATTTCTATTTTTTTTTTACAATATAGTGCCTATAAAATGGCATCTTGTTGTTGTCTTAATTTGCATTTCCTTAATTGCTAATGAGATCAAGCATCTTTTTGTACATTTATTGGCTATATGTCTTTCCTCTTTAATGGAATTCAGGCCACATTTGGCTCACTTTTCTAGTGGATTGCTTATCTATATCTTATGGCTTTTGAGAGTCAATATATTGATTATATATTGTGGATACTAAATGTTTTTCCATTATCTGTGTCACAGATATGTTCTCTTTATTGTGCTTTGCCTTTAACTTTGTTTGGGGGCTCTTTTTTTTTTTTTTTTGTGAGGAAGATCAGCCCTGAGCTAAAGTCTGTGCTAATCCTCCTCTTTTTGCTGAGGAAGACCGGCTCTGAGCTAACGTCTATTGCCAATCCTCCTCCTTTTTTTTTTTCTTCCCCAAAGCCCCAGTAGATAGTTGTATGTCATAGTTGCACATTCTTCTAGTTGCTGTATGTGGGACGCAACCTCAGCATGGCCAGAGAAGTGGTGAGTCGGTGCAGCGCCCGGGATCTGAACCCGGGCCGCCAATAGCGGAGTGCATGCACTTAACCGCTAAGCCACGGGGCTGGCCCTGGGGGCTCTTTCAATATACAGAAATTTTTAGTTTTAATGTAGCTTAATTTATCAATATTTTCTTTTTTATTTAGCACTTTCTTGATATTCTTTATTAAGTTCTTTTCCACCCTGAGGCCAAAAGCAATATTCTCTTATCTTTTCTTCTAAAATTTTTGATTTTAACATTTATTTTTTTGTCCATCTGGAATGGATGTTAGTGTCTGCTATGAGGTGGGAAATCCAATTTTACTTTTTCCCCATATAGACGATCAGCGGGACCAGCTTCCTTTCGTCTCTGACATCTATCACTGTTCCATATTTGTATGGGTTGGTTTCTTGGCTCTCCATTTTGTTCCACTGGTCATTTTGTGTATATTTGTGCCAAAACCATCTTGTCTTAGTCCCTCTAGTTTTATAAGTCTTGATATCTGCTAAGACAAGTCCCCCCACTATCTTCTTCTTCAGCAATGTCTTGACTATTCTAGGAACTTTGCTGATTTACATTTTACCCCAAATGAGATCATGTTACCACTAGTTTATAACTTGCTTTAAAAAAACTTAACAATGTGTTGTGAATATTTCATTATCACATACCATTGTAAAATAAAATTTTTAATGGCTGCATGATATGCTATTGTTTAGATGTCCCATAATTTATTTATTCCATCCTCTGTTTTTGGATATTTAGATATTGGATATTTTGCCACATTTTTATTATTATAAGCAATTCTGTGGTGAATATTCTTGTGGCAAAATCTTTTTAACACATCCATGACTATTTCCTCAGGATGGAAGTAGGATTTCTGAGTCTAAGGATTTGCTCAATTTGAAGGTTTCTGATACAAATTGCTAAATTACTTTTTAGAAAGCTCGCATGAACTGTGTGACAGTGTAGGTCTCAAGGCAGGCACCCTTGCTAACAGTGAACATTATCGTTTAAAAAAAAATTCCGACATGATAGGCAAATAATTTAAAACAAGTTAAATTTGGATTACATATCTAATTTGGATTAACGCATTCTATGTCCACATTCTTCTCGTGAACAGACATGGGGCTCCATACACTGAACAGTCTCCTAAGTATTATCTCCCTTTGTTCCATTAGAGGAATTGAGCCAGGCCCCCCCGCCCATGGAGAATCAGACTGCGATGGTGTCGGAGTTTATTTTGCTGGGATTTCCTCTCAGCAGGCAGGTGGAGCTGCTGTTCCTGGTGCTGCTGCTCCCCACGTTCCTGCTGACGCTCCTGGGGAACCTGCTCATCATCTCCATCGTGTTGTCCTACTCCTGCGTCCACATCCCCATGTACTTCTTCCTGTGCAACCTCTCTGTCCTGGACATCCTCTTCACGGCAGTCATTTCTCCACAAGTGTTGGCCAACTTAATATCTGGTGATAAAACCATCTCTTTGCTGGGTGTATCACCCAGTGCTATTTCTATTTCTTTCTGGGCACAGTAGAGTTTCTTCTGCTGACAGTCATGTCATATGACCGCTATGCCGCCATCTGCTACCCCCTGCAGTGCGGCACCATCATGAGACCTCCTGTCTGCATTGGGACTGTCGTGTTCTCTTGGGTGGGAGGCTTCCTATCTGTGCTCTTTCCAACCATCCTCATCTCCCAACTGCCCTTCTGTGACTCCAACATCATTAACCACTTCTTCTGTGACAGTGGCCCCTTGCTGGCCCTGGCCTGTGCAGACACCACAGCCATTGAGCTGATGGATTTTATGCTTTCATCCACGGTCATCCCCTGCTGCATAGTTCTTGTGGCCTATTCCTACACGTACATCATTTTGACTATAGTGCGCATCCCTTCTGCAAGTGGAAGGAAGAAGGCCTTTAACACTTGTACTTCTCACCTGACTACTGTCGTGATTTCTGGTGGCATCACAGTGTTTATCTATATGACTCCCTCCCGGAAAGAAAATCTGGACATCAACAAGGTCCCTTCAGTACTGAGCAGTGTTGTGGCTCCATTCCTCAACCTCTTTATATATACTCTGAAGAATGACACAGTGTTGGGGGTCCTCAGGGATGCGTGGGTCAGGGTTCAAGCAGTTTTAGAAAAGAGGATGAGGACAATGCTGAGAAGCAGATTGTCCTCTAACAAAGACCGCTAATGAGGGGCTAGTCCCTCTTGCTTTTCACCCCCACGTATCCATAGTACAAATCTCCAGTATTAGAAAGAGAGGACTTGCCTTAGCACAAGGGTGAGCTAGCTAAGGGATCCTGAATGGTCTATAGAGGAAAGAAGACTGAGCTTGGAGACAGGGACTTGGACTCTGGCCTTGATTCTAACTTTAACTCTGCGGCCACAGCTGTGTCCCTGTGTCACCAGCCACTCTGGCCCTCAATAATCTCATCTGAAGTGTGACAGAGCTGGACTTCATGATCTCTAAGCCTCATTCACACTGAATATTCTAAGAATTATAGAAGGGCTGTGCAGCCTGTGTCCTATTGAAGTCCCAACATGTTTGGCCCCATTTCCACACGGATCCTGAATACAACTCTTCTATCTGCTTGGCACAAAGTCTTTCCTGGTCCCTTCTGCAGGGACCCTCTTTCCTTCCATCTTCTCTAGGAATCTTTCTAGGAATAACTTTCTTTATCCTCCAATCCACTGTCATATCCCATAATCCATTGTTTTTCCTCAGTGGACAAATGTAACGATTGTGGTAGATATATGTAGTGTGTTTTATTTAATAATACTGTTTCCTGTAATAGAACACATTCATAATATCCAACATGCTCACATTTTTACGTAAGATACAGTCCTGTTCCTCAGCCTCCAATGACTGACCCTTGGATGGATAATCTGACTGAAGGCACCATCCATTGCCTGGCCAGTGATCTATGACCTGTGTGGCTTGGCCGGGACAGATAAACTGTGCAAACAAATGTCTCAGTTTTGACAGTTTGAACTAAGAGATGCAGAGACTGTAGCAGACAATATGATGCTCCCCCTGGAAGCCCAAGTAGGCTTGGCAGCTGGCGTAGCCACTTTGGGGACCATGTACAAGCTGACAAGAAATTAGAAGAAGCCAGTCTGTCCATCAAAGAGAATAAAGTTGGTGTATAGAGAGAAATAGAGAAGAGATAGATGAGTGCCCCTCAGCTGCAGAGACACAGGTGAAGGGTCCTCCTCTCTAATGACTTCCCAGCCCAGGGAGCAGGCAGAGTTTTATTTCCTATTCCTGCATTTGATGAGCTTTGTCTGTACCCATAAATCGAATCCTTTTTTATTGAGCTATTTTGAGAAGGCAGCCAGTCCTGGTGGTCTAGTGGTTGAGATTTGGCACTCTGATCACCACAGCCCAGGTTCATTTCCTGGTCAGGGAACCACACCACCCCTCTGTTGGTTATCATATCGCGGCAGCTGTGTGTTGCTGTGATGCTGAAAGCTATGCCACTGATATTTCAAATAAATACCAACAGGGTCAGCCATGATATACAGGTTTCAGCAGAGCTTCCCGAGTAAGACAGGCTAGGAAGAAGGAACTGCCCACACACTTCTGAAAAATTGGCCATGAAAACCCTATGAATAGCAGTGGAATATTGTTTGATATAGTGCTGGAAGATAAGAGGATGGTACAAAAAGACCAGGCAGGGTTCTGCTCTGCTGTACACAGGGTCATCAAGAGTCGGAATCAACTAGAGGGTACTAATAACAACAAATTTTGAGAAGGTCTTCGTTTCTTGTGACCTAAAAGCAGCTTGACTACAAAGCTGTCTCCCTGCACCAACTGTAGCCCCTCACCTTTTATAGCTCCAAGGAACTAGAAAGATGTCTGTTTTCAACTAAACTCTCAGTCTGAACTCCTAGTGCCCAAATACTGCCTGAGATGCTTGACTGGCACCATCTAGGCCTATGGTTCAGGTGAGTGCAAGCCAAACTTTTCAATTTCATCAGAAGGTCTAAGGTTTCCTTTCCTGTCCCCCTCACCTCTAGCACAGCAGCATCCACTTTGCCTGAATTAACACCTGTGCTTTGCATGGAACTGGTCAGAAGGACACATGCACACCTAAGGAAACTCTGTAGGTGCTGTGGAAATAAACAAAGACCACCCGAAAGAGAACAGAGGCTATTTATCCAGAGCTGGTGATAGCAAAGGAGTCAGCCACCATCACTTGGGTTTTTTTTTTTTTTTTTTTTTGATGATTATCCTTTTTTATTTGCACGTATATGACATGATACAAATATATTTTTTAAAATTGAGATTACAATGAAATTA